ATTTCTTGAACACTAATATTAAGTATATTTTTTATTTTCTCTAGCTCGAAGCACATATATTATTCCATTCAAAAGGTATGCATGTTGTTCCGTGCCGAGGTATCACAAAGGATAATGATGGTGATCTGATGCTAGTAATGGATGTGATGATAGAAGACTTGCGCTCTTATATCCGTCGGGAGGACCTAAAAATGACTTGGAATCAAGTTTACGATATACTTTACAGCATTTGCGAACGTCTTTCATCTATCCATTCAGAGAACTCATGCCATAAAGACCTTCATCCAGCCAACATACTACGAAATTCAAAAAAGATGTGGATGATTTCAGATTTTGGCCTTTGCGGCCCGCCAAATATGCCACCTAATTGCGTTTATGGAGTCCTCCCTTTTATTGCACCGGAAACCCTTAATAGCAAAATATATTCTCAAGCTTCTGACATTTATAGTGTTGGAATGCTCATGTACGAAGTTGCGACTGGATTGCCACCGTTCAATGAAAAAAGAGCAGACGTGAACCTAGCTTGTCATATATTAGATGGCAACAGACCTATTGTTCCAAATGAATTTAATTTCCTATCATCCAAGTACACAGGCATAATGAATAGATGTTGGGATGCACTCCCACAAAATAGACCAACGGCCACTGAAGTACGTGATTTCTTTTTTGGTGAGTTGGTTAGGTATCGAGAAAATAGCGGTTATGGTTCTGAACCTATTAAAAATTATGGAAAAGGAAGGAGTAGTACTATTGATTTTTATCGAAGTTCGATCCATTCAACCCATTCAATCCCAGTACAGAGTCAGGAACTAAGTAGTGTTTATTTATTTTAAATACGATTCAATTACAGTATATGTCTTGCAAATTTGTACATACAACGCTATACGTTTCACTTTATGTCTTATGCTTTGATCGTAAAATCAATGTTACCTTAAGTTTAATGCTAGATATTCTCCATTGCTCTGCAAAAATGAAATTAGCTACTTCTCCCAAGATTTGTTCCCTAACGAAACTGGGCATGTTCTTTCTATCATTATACAAATACAGTAGCTATTGTTCGAAATCACTTATTCTAAATTTGGATAGTATTAAAAATTCTTTATTTATCAAGATAAGACTAATGATCTTAGCAAATGTCTAACAAAAATATATAAAGAACATGATATCCCAAAAGAATTAAACTCTACATATAATTCAAAGAAAGTACTGTCAAACCAATTCAATTTCTTATAAAGAAGTTTGTAAAAAAAAAAAAAAAAAAAAGCATAAATTTTATTTTATTTTTTTTATATAATATATAATTAGATTAAAAGTAAGATTATTAATCAACAAGGTACCATATATTTGTTTATTTTTTTTTTATATACTCTGACAGGTTAGTTATGTGTGCTTTATTAAATGTTTATAAGCTGTATATATAAATGAGGTACTAAAGCTAATTTTTTAACTAACTCACTCATCTTGATTGTATTATCTTCTATATATAATTTCAAGAATAATTTATTATTCTATTAATAGTTCGAGTGAAGACTTTTCTAACTTCTAACATTATTGCCTGCAGATCACTATTGCAAATCCCTTGTTTGAGTTCTAACAGAGATCAAAACCCAATCACTTCATATTATATTTTATACTATTGAATAAGTTTCTTCCAACTTCTTGTCTTCAATTCTTTTCTATTTATATATTGATTTTTTTATAAATAGACTTTCTATACTCTTAATCTTATATTCTTGATCTTAGGAGTATATTGGTCTCTTCATCTTGTTACCTTTGTGAATTCCTGACAACTGTTCCTATTCAATTATTTTCTTATACAGTTGCTTCCAAAAGTTTAAGTCCACTTACTATGTTTTTATTATAAATTTCAACTTTGACAATTTTTAAA